AGAGGGAGGCAATTGAAGGAGTCTGGAATACGATCTCAGATGATCCATTAAACTATCATTTTTATTATCATGTTTTGGATGGTGACGAGGGAGGACGACCACCAAAGATTTTGGCTTCAGATGGACACAAGCAGATGGAAAACAAATATTTTAACTACAGAGACAAGTCCTGTTTACATGCCATTGCTATCAGCAACAATAAAGTAATATTGAGTTATAAAAAATGTTATTTCATTACATAGTTATTTAAAAACAGCAGAAATTTCATATTTGTTTATCAGTTATCTAATTTGCTACTGTAGGAGTTTAACCCCTTCATTACCCTCATCCTATGTTTTTGGCAGAAATCAGTTCTTGATTTTCACTTTTAGGAGGCTTTACAGCATCCTGTGGTCAGAATGCTGATTAAAACAAAATGGAAAAGTTATGGACACTTATTTCTCAGGTAAACCAGTATTAATAGACACAGAGCCTTACACAGGGTTGTATATAAGAGCCAGAAGCTGGCGAAGTTTGCCAGCTTCTCTTCAAGTTTCACTGGCTACTTTCATTACTTCAAGAGATATGATATGGCAAGGAGAAGAGGTTTGTCAGGTCTAAACTTGAAACAACAAATGTTAATTTGCAGGGCCTATAATTTCTGAAAACATATCAAATATTTCTGACTTAAGGACAGTTTAGAAACGTTATGTTTATGACTTTCTTTTGGAAGAAATCCTGCTGCGGTGCAGGAAAGTACATACAATATGATTTTTTGTCCACCATTGGATTTTGAGATACTGACTTTGATAGTGTAATTTCAGCTTAATTTATTCCTCTAATGTCAAATTTGTCAAAGGCCCAAAATGCCAGGAATTGCATTTTCTAGCCTTGTATTTTCACAAATTGTCCCCATACCTTCCCTCTTTCCCTGTCCTGTTGCACCAGAGGTGATAACTGCCTTTTCTTTTCTGTAGCCTTCAAGTAGCATTGTATTGCATCTTCTTGCTGTTCATGTCATATTCTCTGCTGCATGCCTCTGCCAAACTGGACCCAACCCGTTACAGTGGTGCACTGGACTCACTGCGTGGCGTTTGTGAGGTTGTCACTCTACTTATGGTTGTGTTGTACATCTGTGAGGAAATAAATCAGATAAGAATGTAAGTAACTATGGTTAGGGTAACATCAGATCATTGATCAGCGACATGGAAACTAGCGATTATTGTTAATTAGTATTCCATATCTACGTCATTTTTCCTTATCAGGAACGCACGAAATGTGTCACGGTACTACACTCTAGAACAGGACAAAAATATGGACGTAGAACGGAACAATAAAATGGCTGCTCCGAGCGATTCTAACTTTTGTTTTTCGTTTTTCAGGGTTAACTTTTAGGTTATTTTGTTGGCAACAATAACTTTTAAATGGGTTTGTTTGTTATGCAATCTATACCAAGTTCAGATGATTGGGTGAATGAAAGACGAAAGAATGGGAGCGAGTTCAAACAAATTTTCTGATTTCTTGCAGAGAAGGGAATTCTTATTTCACAGATTGGATGACCCTTTTCGACTGGTTAGGCTTGCTGTCGATCCTGTGTATAATACCCTTACGGTACATGGATTATAAAGCACAATGGATGGTGACATCTTTGGCCTTCTTGTTCAACTTCCTGAGAATATTTAAATTTTCATGTGTGTCGAGGTAACCTACCACTCCCAATTGATTATTTTAGTCCGGAATTACCACTGATGACCAAAACCTCATCCCTTCGTCAATCAAACCTAAACTTATATCTTTCATAGGACTACAGGATTATACACACAAACCTTGGCTAAGATCATTTTACATGACGTCACAAGATCCATGGCAGTTTTTATTGTGATCTTTTTCTCCTTCTGTGGTGCCCTGACTTTATCACTTTGTTACTCCGGATACAATGAAAACCAAGAACTTCGGTGCGTCGCTGTTGAGTATATCTCCTTAACAAAGCTATGAAGTTGTTTTGGAGAAACCAATTCAGGGTATCGTTTGCTACAAGTCAATAAAATATTTGATAATTTCTATTGGAATTTGTTTAATTTGATCTACTCTTCACTAGCTAGATGTTTTATTTACTTAAATTATTCTCATCCTTTCTGGCAAAAGCAATTTACTGATCGTGGGAATTTGGATATTGAATATAGCGCGTGAGAAGTGCAAAAAAACCCAACATACTAATTTTAATTTTTGGTTTTGCCTTTAGTGGTTTTGGAGACGTCTTGATGAGTGGGTTTCGAGCACTGTCCGAGCAGTATCCAATGGCGCATAATTACTCGCCTTTCAAGTACGTGACACTAATCTTTGAAGTTGTTGCTGAGCTTCTCTTTGCGCATAACAACTGTTACGGTTTGAGTCTTAAAAGCTAGCTCAGGGAAGATAAGGTCACAAGTCATATCAGGTCTGT